ATCTGGACTGTTCAGGAGAATTGACAGGATTGCTTGGGTAGCACAGGCATTGTTTATCACCTGCTTCACGTCATCAAAAGAGTTACAAGTCATAGTGCTAAGCAACTTCCGTTAGTTTAACCACACATATCATGTAAAGCCATTTGACCTGACTAGCAAAGAATAAGTTTGGGTTTGGATCCTTGATCACAAGGCGATCATCTTTTTCACCCGGACGCCATTTGAAAAGGAATACCAAGCCATACACGGGCCTGTGAAAAATCATAAGATTAAGTATTATTTCCTTTTGAAAGAATTGGGGAAACGCGAGCTTGAAGCTTCTGAGAATAAACTGTTTGCACAATCATACAATTAATGTTAACATGGCAGAATTAGTTTACCTAAGACTGTTGAGCTCATCAAGATCCAAAGAATACAACTCCTCAACCTGTTTCAACATGAAATAGCATGAGAAGAGAAAAAAAAATTAATCACCCAAAAATAAGTGGCTATCTGACCATTTTAACATCCCACCCTTCCCAATCCTCAGCTTTTCATTTGCTTTATCTCACAAGAAAAGCACATCAATCATACTTATCAGCTTCTACTGAAAGGGCAGAAACCCCCTTCATATAGAACTGAGATAACCACAAATATGTTGAAAGAGAGTCCAAAAGATGGGGAATGATGGACAAATTAGCCAAAGCTCCTCCAATCATGGCTAATTCTTGGTTTTTTTCCTCTTCATATTCATCATACAACAGAATCACAGGTTGCGCAGAAATGAATTAAGTACCAACATTATTCTTCCATAATTTGCAGATTTTAGCTTTAAACCAGGTATGGCATGAAATGAACGAATCCTATCTAGTTTCCAGTAATTACATAACATCATTTATTAAAATAGCAAACTGCTGTTGCCAGGAAGCCTGACAGGCAGTAAGATCTGCACCTAATCCCCTCGAGGTGTTAGGAGGGGAGAATAGTTTATTGATGTTGTAATTTGGGATGTTTTTCTGTAACTTTATTGTATCATCTTGGTACCTTCAACAACAACATCAAAAACAACAACCCGGTGAAATCCCACAAGTGGGGTCTGGGGAGTGTAGTGTGTACGCAGACCTTACCCCTACTCCGGAGGAGTAGAGAGGCTGTTTCCGATAGACCC